AGAGATTGGATTTAGGAAAGTCATAAATATTCTGTGAGTAACAAAACCAAGTAGATGAGTTGATAGATCTTTTTGTTATCTATTTTATTCTTAATATGAATAAAGGCTAGCAAAGGATTTTAAATTGTTGCAAATTATTAAACCTAAATCTAAACTGAACTTTGAATTTATAAACCTAAACTAAACCTAAACTTAAAGTTTTAGTTTAGTCAGGTTCAGTTCAAGGTTTATAAACATGTTCAGGTTCAGTGACAAAATTTAGTAAACAGTAAAAATATCTTTACTAAATATTTTTTGTCTTTAAAATTTTCAAATTTAGAGTTTTTTTAACCAAACCTTTTTTCTTTACCAAGTAAACCTATTTTTAACTTCTAATAAAAGTTGTAAAGGAGTGTCTTGCAATAAAAATAGTGTTTAAAACATTAAATCAGCCTAGTAGATCGTAAGATATAAGTATTTTTGTCTTCATGATTATATGTTTTCTTCTTTATATAAATAAGAAGAAAGTATATAGTCATAAAGACTAAAGTGCTTATATCTTGTGATCTACTAGACTAATTTTAATGTTTTAACCACCATTTTGATTGCAAGACACTATTCTACAAGTTTACATAGAAGCTAAAAAGAGATTTACTAAGTAAAGGTTTAAAAAATCACAATATTTTTATAATTTTATTAATAAAAGTATGGAAAATATTAAAATTCACAAAATTGTATTAATTAAAGCTATCTTTATGTTCTAAGTAAACTTGTTCTATGCATAAAAACACATTATATTAATATATATTTACCTTATAATTTTAAATTTTAAGAGAAAATATACTTAAATTTGAAATTTTGATCAAAAATTCAAAATTAAGCATTTTTTCTCTTAAAATTTAAAACTATAAGGTAAATATATACCAATATGATGTATTTTTATATATAAAATAGATTTACTTAGAGCATGAAGATAAAATTAGATAGTAGAATTTGTGGATTGTAATATTTTTCATAATATTATTAATAAAATTATAGAAAATATTAAAATCTACAAAATCATACTAATTTAATCTACTTTTATATTCTAAGTAAACTTGTTCTACATATAAAGATACACTATATAAATATATATTTACTTTATAGTTTTAAATTTTCAAAAAAAGATGCTTAATTTTGAATTTTTAATCAAAAATTCAAAATTAAGCATCTTTTCTTGTAAAATTTAAAATTATAAAATAAACATATATTAATATGGTGTATTTTATATATAGAACAAGTTTACTTAGAACATAAAGATAGATTTAATTAATACAATTTTGTAGATTTTAATATTTTCTATAATTTTATTAATAAAATTATGAAAAATATTACAATCCACAAATTTTACTATTTAATTCTACCTTATGCTCTAAGTAAACTTATTTTACATATAAAAATATATTATATTAGTCTACATTTACCTTATAGTTTTAAATTTTAAGAGAAAAGATGCTTAATTTTGAATTTTTGATCAAAATTTTAAAATCAAGTATTTTTCTTTTAAAAATTTAAAATTATATGGTAAATATATATCAATATGATGTATTTTTATGTATAGAACAAGTTTACTTAGAGCATAAAAGTAGATTTAATTAATACAATTTGTAGATTTTAATATTTTTCATTAAAATTATAAAAAATATTATAATTTTTAAATCTTTACTTAGTAAATTTCTTTTTAGCTTCTAAGTAAACTTTTAGAATAGTGTTTTAATCAAAATAGTGGTTATAACATTAAAATTGGCTCAGTAGATTACAAGATATAAGCATTTTAGTTTTCATAACTATATGCTTTTTTTTTTATTTATATAAAGAAAAAAATATATAATCGTGAAAACAAAAATACTTATACCTCATGATCTATTGGGCCGATTTTAATGTTTTAAACACTATTTTGATTGAAAACACTTCTCTACAACTTTATTAGAAGTTGAAAATAGGTTTACTTAATAAAGAAAAAGATCTTAGTTAAAAAACTTCAAATTTAGAAATTTTACTATATTTTGTTACTAAATCTAAACTGAACATAAATCTGACTTAAAAGTTCAATACTGAATCTGAACTAAACATGAACTTGACTTAAAAGTTCAATACTGAACCTGATTGAACTAAACCTGAACCTGAACAAAGTTCAGTTTAGTTCAAATTCATAGAAACACTAATAAGAAAACTTGTCTATTCAAGAAAAATCTTAGACAAGACAACCCTAAGACAAAAAAAAGCCTAAGGCAAAAAAAATCTGTCTTTACAAAAAGGCAAAATATTGGTTTATATACATGTTAGCTAAGTATAATTTTTAATAATACAATACAAATTATTCTTATTTATTCTATTGTATCATATTACTAATCTTTATTTACTACAACACTAATAAGACTTTTAATATGTCAAGATCTAAATCAAAAGAGAAATGATTGTTTATATGTTGGACCAATTTACATACATAGATTACAATATAGTTTGAAGATCAGATATATTTAAAGGACAAATTGTGTATTGATAGAAAAATGACTATATAAAAGAATAATAGCAGATAATTATAAAGAAACAAATAAGAAAGAGGCAAATAACAAATATAGAAAATAAGGTGGGACAATAAATGAACAATCGGAAGCAAAATTATCTAATAATTTAAGGAATAATAATAATAATAAGACAGAGCAAAAATAAGGAATGATGAAATTTTGGGGCACAGATATGTTACAATAGTAACACCAGAATTTTCTTGTAAACAGTTAACAACAAATTTATATGTGTTTGGTTAGTTCAATTACAAAGAACAATAATAAAAAAAAGCACATTTTTATAAATGATTGTTATTCACTTTAATTAAGTTAAAATAACAAAAAATACAAGTTAAACATTCATTATGGTTAAACAAATCTTATACTATAAATAAATATAGTGCTATGTAATATACAGATGTTCTATAGAATAGGTAGACAAACTCCGCAAACTTCACAACTTCACTAATAATTATTAATCATTAGCAAAGTTTATTTTTTATATTGCCCACCTATTCTATAGAACATCCTAATAAACTATTGTGAAGTTTAAATGCTGAATTTCACATTTTATTGTATTGAAAACAAAATAAACCTCCAAATTTTTTTCAAATATTGTCTATAACTCAAAATTTCAACTACAAACACACCAAAATTAGCCACAACACTTATTATGTAAGTAAAATTTAGTTGTATAACTAATATTTGTACCTGGAATTAGTGTCTGGCACAAAGCACTTATGCCTTTAATAGTGCCCAGCCTAGTATCTATGGGCACAGCATGGCACAAGACACTAGTGCCAATGTGCCAGGCATGAGTACCCATGCCCATGCCAAATTTTTGTGCCAATGCCCATATCCATACCAAATTTTTGTGCCCATACCCATGCCTGTGCCAAATTTTTGTGCTCATGTCTATGCTCATGCCAAATTTTTGTGCTCATGCCCATGCCCATGCCAAATTTTTGTATCTATACTCATGCTCATAGAAAATTCTTATACCCGTGTCCATGCCCATGCCCAAAATTTTGTTGGGCACAGGCACGAGCCCGGTTTGCAGACTCCTACTGCCTAGCTAAGGTTAAGGTCTAGAGTAAACTAGCATCATCCCCACTTCCCTCAAAAATTTATGTAAACTTACAATGTAATATCTACATAATAAATAATAAAGGAACTGAGGAAAAGACCTCACTTAAAAAAAAAAAATAATAAAATAAAACATGTTATATTTTGTATTTTGTTTTTTTTTACCCCAACTAACTACAACTTTGTAATCATCAGGAATTCTATACCAATTATTATTATTATTATTTGAGTTTTAGCGGTGCTGGATAATGACCTTCAGAAATAATCATATAATAGTAAGTGCTACTAGATCTAATTCTCAGCTTTTTTAGGATAATCATGAAGCTTAAAAAGGGACCCCATATTTCAGCATAATAAATATAGTAGTCATAACAGCATATTTTTAGTATAGTATTATACAAGGTAGTTTGTACAAGAAAGAGAATTATCATCTTCGTTTGATGACAAATGCCTTTTTTATCCATCAGGATACAATTGAACCTTAAGGGAGCGATGGGTATTCTGGCGCACCTAAGAGTTGCACATATAAAAATTTTTAGGAAATACGTGTTTATTTAGCGAAATAAAATAAAATTCGATTTACTATCGAACGTTAAAAAAAATCATTTAACAAAAAAAAAAGTTCTACATAAAAATAAAAACTTTATTTAATAATCTTTGATCTTCATATTTATAAATGCTACGTATGGCTGTCATGCCATACATGTTACCACTCTGTTCGCTTTGCTCTGAACAATGCTCGTATTTATAACAAAAAAGATTTAAACCACGATAAATACTACTGCAACCTTTTTATATTGTAGTTTTTATTTTTACTTGCATCTCTACTAAATTTGTATGTAACAAATTAGCTTGACTACAATTAGCGGCTTTCTTTTCTGTATTATTAATTATTAACTTCCAAAGTTATTTGAGTTTTTACATTGTAATATATATATAATGGTTAGTTTTTTGAAACTAATATCAGACAGGAAATAAATGGGTTGGTTTTGTTAAAGATTGAGACGAGCTGGCCCCGGGCGGGTCACTTTTAAGTCACATTCAAAACTCACACGTTATCGTAACCAACTGATTACATTCATATAAAAAGTGATCGTTATTTTAAGTTTTAAAAAATTTATATAACGATAGCTTACTATTTGACCTTTTATTTATTATCGTTTTAACAAAAAAAAACAACCTTTCAAAAAAAAGCTTTATACAAAAAAATTTATTCATACGGTCATTAAATGATGACTAACATAACAATAAATAAATTTTCATTCCGATGTAGCAGTATAAGAATATACTATATACTTGATCGGAAGGCATGCTTCGTGACTTCATATTAAATCAGAAATGAATATAAATTTTAGAGTTATAGAATTAAACAACATATATGATATAACCTTACCAATAGACAGCATACTCTTCATAGTTTAAATGCGCACCTCCGTGTGGGCAGTGTCCTAGAAGAATTAAAATTCCATTATTTTTTGTACGCACATATGTGAAAAATAGTCATATGCAGTAGTTTTCTTACCAACTCTACCCCATGTAGAATCATAGTCATCTGGAGGACCGCGAGCGTTTTGTGCAACCTCGTCAGGTTTCCACATGTTTCCAAGAACGACCTTATAATTATCAAAGTTCGAAAAATCATAAACGTACTTAAATTTAATCAAAACCCATAAATACCTTTGTCATAAACATTATTCGACATGTTCGATTAGGGTCCACTGGTGAAGCCCTTGCCTATATAATCGCGATTTTATTAAACCAATATAATAAATATATAAAGTAATTACAATCACAATTTATAATATTGCTTACCCCTCCACGCCCATAAAAATGTGCTTTCGACGAGTGGGGCGTAAAATAAAGGCCTTGTCCCAATCGTTGAAAGGAACGATTTTGACGGTTGATTCCAACCTTCAAATATAAAAATCACAAGATGAATTAACTATACGGCATTTTAAAATTTCAAAATAATTAACGTTAGTATATACCTTGTTAATGTCAAAATTGTTCATTATGATGCCGCAGCCGGCACAATCATCTGTCTTGCACAACATATTTTTTATGTTGCTATTTATGATTGTGCAAGAATGGTCTGTTCCATGATATAAAAATTTTTCATTGTGTTTACCGCGGTTCTTTTCGATTTTTGATCTATATTTCTTGTACTTTTCTACAATTGTTGGAGATAAGATAATGTTATATATTTCTTCAACTTTTACATCTATTGTATTAGTCAAAAAAAAAAAAAAAATCAATATAGGTATTAATAGTGAAAGAAATATATAAATGAAATAATCTACCTTCAGCATTTTTTTTTGTCCAATCACCTAAAAATTTTTTTTCCGTTTTTGTAAATTCTGGGTGGGTCTTCGGCAATTCAATTAGCACAGAATTTTTTACTTTGATGTCCCCGTGGATGCTTGTGGCTAAAACGATTTCAAGAAATAAACACGTTAATTTCTCTCTCAAGTAAAAATAATGAGCGAATTAATCCGTTTCGTACACATCCACGCTTTACGGTGTACATCACATAAGTAGACATCATCGTCTGTACTAGAATTTTTACAGTTTTTGTATACGCAAGTCATTTTTTTTTGAAAGCGTAGTGTTAATAATAATGAACAAAAAACTTGTAAAAGAAGAAAAAAATCTCTTTATATAAGTTTTTAACTAATAATGAATTGATATTTAACTAGTCATTATGAAAAATAAAGAAATTTTAATTAACTTTTGTACGGTTGTAATAAAAATAATACATTAATCAAACTATTCAAGATTACATATTTTAAAAGATAGTCTGAATTATTTACGATACGAGTATAAAACATTAAAGAATTTGTTGAACTTTAATTCTATTTTTTATTAATCTGACTTTTCAATTACGGCATTCAGTGATCTGACACTTTCAACATTGTTGTTATTTTCGTAGAAAAAGTGATAGTGATCAAAAACTAGCATAAATATAACTACCTCTACAGAAATATAAGCTTATAATTTTTTTTTTTTTTTTTTTTTTTTTTTGCGTTTAAAACCCTTTATAAAATGAATGGCTTCATATCACCTAACATTTTTGCAGTTTTAGCAAATGACTCTGAAGACGACCAACAAAGCGAGGCGTCTGAGACAAAGACCGAAATTTCTAAAGATACTTATGTAAATGGTTGTACAAAAAGATCAAAGCCAGATTATGAAAGCAATAGAAGTTGGGAATCGTATTCAAAGAAGCAAAGGATTAAAATCAATACGGAACGAAGCACCCGTAACGATAATGACAAGAAATTGACTGCTAATCCAATTTCAACCAATCGTCTCATTCCACCAGTTCCGGATACCAATACATCAACTACTCTACCTTCCCAAGAAGACCATTTTGGAAAGCAAATTCATGAAAACTTAAAGTTTTCAATGGGTCAACGACCTTCATCCTTTGGTGATTCTTTCAATACTTTTGTTAGATTCAAAAATCCAATCTCACTTATAGTAAAACGTTGTTATCGGATTTATGAATTTGTTACCAAAGGAACAGATAACTCGGCTCATTACTTTGGAAATGCGGATGATAACACCTGCCCCAACACCATCTGTCAACGCTGCTCGTTACTCGATAGATGTGACATCAATATTAACCGTCATTCTACAATACCCCTGACTCCGCTCAAAGAAAATAAAATAACGAGTAGACGCTCTAAACAATACTCTAAAAGAAATGTTGAAATTTTCGGGGAACAACTGGACCCATCGGACCTTCTTAAAGGTTATAACAATCCTAAAAGCGATAGCGTTAATAACTCCATACCTCGCAACGGTCCTAGTATGTAGTAATAAATTTTTATTGCATTACTGATTTTACTAAACTCAAATAATAATAATAATAATAATAATAATAATAATAATAATAGAATTTATTCATTCGGGATCGATTCAATCTCTAGCATTGTTTATATCTTTTGGATGCTCGGAAATTAAATATTCCATTGAAGAGTTTTACAAATTTGGATTCCATCCCATATACAAATCATTTGCCAAATATACTAATGTAGAAATCTTGCGTAAATTTGTTCTTAATTGTGCTGTCAATTGCTGGGCCAATGCATGGAGAATTGTCGTTGTCATTTTATCTAATTCCAATATTAATATTGATTATATCTCTCTCTTTGTTAAAGAACTTCGAAATGTGTGTGATCAACTTGTTTTAGATATTATAGTCATCCACACATTTCTTGGTTGTGTGGGTACTGAAAAAGACAAACGATTTATAGAGAAATCGGGTACAAGTGCTGTAATTTATAGACATGCCGATTTTGATCTATATTTATTGCAAGATTCATTAAATTATTTCGTAAGTTTCTTTTTAATCAAAAAATTTGGTTAAATGTTATTATTATAGTTATTGATCTTTGATTCGATTTTTTTATGTTTATAGGCTCAATCCATTCGTTCATATAATAATGATCGCATTTATTTTTATAATAAGGGTGAACCATACTACGAATTTACAAATTTTTTTCTTGTTCCTGTTAAAATCGATGATCTGGATTGGCCGTCTACCGAAAATTATTGTAAGTATACAAATAATTAATAGATCATATCATTTTCAAGCTTTTCGATTTTTGTTTATTAATCTCTTAAATATATATAGTTCAAGCTCAAAAATTTCATAATCGCTATCTCCAAGAAACAATTCGTAAAGCGTGGTCTGCACGAGAAGCATTTGTTATTGCTCGACGTAACGATTGCTATAAACGACGTGATTGGGAGGAATATCAGGCCCCTAAAGGAATTTTCAAGGAATGCGTAATGAGAAAAGCTTTACTTGCAAAATTCCGCCAGCATGAAAAATTGAAATACAAATTATTATCAACAAGTACTGCCTTATTATATGAACATACTGAAAATGATAAATATTGGGGTGATGGTGGTAAATTTGGAAAGGGTCTCAATAGATTGGGTTATTTTTTAATGGATGTACGAAATCAATTAATGCAAGATGAAATCGATCTGCTGGCGTATGAATATATAGGGCATAATGAGAAATGGATTATGAATGAATTGAGAGAATTGAACAAGCTTGGTTAAATTTATTTTTTGAAACTCTGTACGTATATGCAATATACGTATTATGTTTATATTTTTTTGTTATTAATTTTGTTATACGTATTAATATACTTGTATCTATGATGGCTCACGTAAAAACCTTATGTTCAACACTCCCGACGTACGTACGTACACACAGTACTTTAGACACATTAAATAAGGCGAAAAAAAACTGACAAAAAAAACTCCGTACCGAGGAATAACTTCGCAATTTTCTATGAGAATACGATAGATACACTAGCGCTCAGGCAATAAATCCGTGTCATTGTTAAATTGTTGATGTGCACATTTGAATTTTGAGAACTTGTTGACATTAGTATTATCATTTGAATAGAATTTCATTGTTTTTTTTTTCATTAGAACTAATTCGATTTGATGAGTTTAGAATAATGCATTACATTTTAATAATTGTGAAAATTAATGACGCGATAAGTACTCGATTAAAACCTCCTTGAAATGTTTAGAACCAAAAATTTTTGTAATAGTCGAGCAATAGTTGAAGAATTTAATAGAAATAAATTTAGAAAGTTTTCTTTTGCATTTGACAAGTTTAGAACTTATAATAATTGATAGAGAAAATTTTTCTATTTAATTGCGGCTTTTCCATCATCAAAATTCAAGTTATTCGAAATATATATATATAAAAATACGATTAACCAAGAATCAAAAAAAAAAAAAATCACCCATTCTATTCAAGGAAATGCTACCTGAAAAATCTGCTCAATTTCATTTGTACCGTCGTGATTCGGGATACGCAGAAAACCCAAACGAAATATTGCCTCTTGATATTGTTTTACCTGCCATTGCTTTTGAAAATAAAAAGGTGCCTTATCATCGCGAGGATGTTTTTGGGATGATAAAACCTCCACGATTTAGTAATTTCGGTTGCAGCTTCTATATAGATTGGAAAAATGACATGAACAAGCTTGATGAAAATTCAGAATCGATACTTCCTAACGCTAATACAAGTCCCAAAATCAATGCACGTGATGAGAAAATCCAAAGTAAAATTGCCATTTCTATGAAACGTAACATACAATTTATCCGTGAGGTTTGTCATTATCCTATATGTATATGTATTTATAGTTGATCATAAATCTAATATTATCTATAATTCAGGTTGTTTTCAAAGTACGCACTCTTCAAAGTACTTTAAAAAAGAAATCTAATCCACCAGGCAAAGTTAGCCGGCTTCATAAACAAGTTAACAAAATTCGCGAGATTCTCACGCATCGTTAAACTATTTAGTGTTATTTTGCACACTGTAAATTTCGTGTAGTTATTCGTACAGTGACTTCATAAGATTTTGGACTAAATTAAGATTGAATCCAAGGCTAATTATAGATTTCTAAATTAAGCTTTTTGTTAAGATTATTTCAAATATGTTTCCTAAAATGTTTAAAATGTGTATATAGAACATAGAACAATGTACAGGCATCAATAAAGAAAAGGATCATTTATGTGAAATTCTAGAGCCATCACTATGGATATTGTGCTCATTGGTTAAATGAGTTGGCATGCCTAAATTTTACAAGTTAAACTGCTAATAATGTGAACTATTAAGTTAAATTGTTTTTAAGCTCCTAAAAAAAAAAAAAAATAAAGATTTTAGTTCACCCAATAAGATCAATTCTCAATTCTCAAAAATATTCAGGAATAACTACATATGGGTCTTCGTAATACCAAACGTATCTCCGAATGATTTAATTAATTCACAACTGCGTTGTGTCTCATTCCTAATAAAATTGTGTGTTACAACTTGCCCAAATTTTTGATTCAATAACAAAATTTCAGAGTGCTTTGCAGAAGATAAAGAAAAAAGCTCGAAAAGTATATAAACTTTTCACTGCAATGTTAGCGATGAGAAACTGACAAAACAAAAATAGCATTAATCAGATCAATTTTCGTTAAATTCTATACGTACTAAAAGCGATATAAACTCTATAAAATTATAAAAATAGTTACAAAAGATTTTTATTGAAATTAAAGAGAATTTAAACTGGTTCAGAAATAAATTAGGTATTAGGTAAGCTTTATAACCCTTTACATTAGAATAGGCTTTAGTATTTAATCCATGCACAGATCGAACTTTAAAATTTCGATAAGATTTCAGTGAGATGTCAGCGGAATATTGGAAGCCGATAGTGACCAGATATTTGGCGCGTATTGCAACCTATCGAATAGATATTGCACTCGATAAGTCTATTAGTTATCTGATACTTCTATCGTAAAATATCGAATATTTGATATTTTGTTAATAGAAGTGTCAGATCTCTAATATGCCCATCGGATGCAATATATATCCGATAGGTAGCAAATATCGGGTAGCTATCAGCTTTATAAACGTCTGATATTTCACTAATATCTCACAGAAATCTTGCCGAAATTTTGAAGTTCGACCTGTGATCACAAAATGAATAACCACCTTAACAAAAAGACAAGAATAATAAATTATTATTTAAAAAGTATCTAAATTTTATTTTTAAATTTACACAATATTGTAATTCTATAATCAAAATTCTCAAAATTCGCAATTACATTTACATTACACAAAAAGATCTATATAGAAAATTGTCTTTAAGATCCCATTTTATAATTATATATGATTATAGAAAAGTTTACATATCCAAATAACCATATATTTAATTTATAACTTGAAAATAATGAAAGATAAAACAAAAAGTTACTCAATATTCTCTTCCTTCATCAACTGTTATAACCACAATTTGTTAAGTATAGGCAAGATCCATTGGGCGATTTCAGATAAGCAGTAATTTCTGCTGCCAACAAACTATGCGCTTTGGTTGTAGGGTGAATAGCATCCCACCACAAATATTCATCAGGTTTTTGACATGTATTATTTGAATTATGTTGTATACAAGAATCCACAACATTTGAAAATCCATATTGTTGTGGATTTTGTATAAAATATTCGATTAATCCCCAAACATCAAAAACGCCTGCCTGAATTCGCCTCTCTTTTCTCATATCAATAATTGTTTGATTTAATAGAATGTTATGAGTTTCGATAAGATGTTGTAGGATTGTAATATTGGTGTAATTTGTATATAGGGGTGCTCGGTTAATTGGTGGCATGTTTAAAAGTAAAAATTTACGAGCTCCTGTTGATGTAAGAAGAATGATGGAGTTATGAATCGATGATATTATGTCTTCAGATGTGATAGTAAGATTCCTTTCAAATATCATCTGATAGTAGAAAAAAAAAAGGTTGAGTATCGTTCTTGTATAATTCATATGTTACGTAAATATATTACCTTATAGTCACAGAAACCAGTCCAGATAGCAAATGTAGTTTGGGGAGGAAAGTAAGATACGTTTGGCAATATGTTTTCAACTGAAAAAAGAAAATTAAAATGAAAAAATTTTAATAATTATATCTAACAAAATAACTTGAAAAAAAATATGCTAAGACATGTGTAGTTACCTTGTTCTTGTACAGAAGGCACATTAGTATTATTAAAGAAACACTGCGAGATCAACGACTTATTTGTTGTTGCACCACCAAAAGCTTTATCAATCAATTTCGCATCTAATATAGATTCCACGAGATCTACCCATATTAGACCATTTGACCACCTTCCTATAATAATAATAACAATAAATAAGAACTCGATGCGATAATTTTAGAACGATTTCCAAAGATGTGTTAAAACCTCAAAAATGATACCTTGATAATACAAATTAACAGGTGGCATTGCACCATCAGTAGCCCTCCATTGATTTCCATTATCTGTTAAAGAATCACCAAAAGCCACAATGTTAAATTTTAACCAATCCTTTTCACGAAAATGTACTATCGAGACAATCGCTGCAATTATAAATCCAAGAACAAGAAGGAATGATATTATTGTCGAAATTGGGATTTTCATTGCTATTAATTTCACAGAATTTTTTTTTTTTTTTGATTTATTTTTTTTATGCCTATGTGCGGTAGGTCATTTTAATAGAAGCATCATCATGACATCAGTGAATTCTAACTCGGTGCCATATTTGATAAGCACAACCCCAATTTTTATCTATTGTATGATAAATCATTGATCATTTTATAGCTATTAGAAATATCAACTGATACATGTATTAATTCCAACGTTAAGGTAATTCTAAGCTTGTACTGTATTTATCATACCAATTAAAACTGCATAAAAAAATTTACTCAACGTTTGTAAGCGTTATTTCAAAAATTGCATTCGTACTTTGTTCAATGCACGTTTTGAGAAAATTTTTATTTTATATTTATGTGTGAAGCATAGATATATAATTATGTTTTATTAATTTTTTGCAAAAATAAGTTAATATTACTGCAGTATAAAGCAGGTATTTTTCTATATTTTAAAATAGATTATTGCTAACTTGCTTCTTTGGTTAAATTATCTAAGACTGGAAGTCCAGAATCTAGTGGTGGAACCAATATAAGATTAGCCAATAAAAATGCACGAATGGCAACAACATTAACCAATAAAAAACGCATATATTTCATGTGATTTTAATATAAGAACCTTTCGCTAGTAGTAAGATTGTAGCATACAAGAACTCAGGTTGATCAAATCAGCGTAACCCAAAAAGAGGAACTAATCGGTAAACAATTAATAATAAACTTATAATTTCTAGTGTTCTTTTATTTATAATAATATCGTTAATCTGTTACAATTTATGTGTTGCAGTTAATACCAACATAGTTCTTTCCAAGATCTGAACCAGAATAAGTTACAGGTTTTTTTTTTCTTTCTTTTTTGCTTGATTTTAAAATAATTGTGTAATTTAAAGTTCCAAGATTTTATCTTGCAGATATTTGTTAAATTTCGAGTTCAATTATTTAACACAAGTTGGTTGCCTATGAAGGAGGCTCTAAGCATTGCTGCCAGCCATGATTAATTGGTAGAAATATCAATATGATTATGAAGAGATAAATGTATGCAATAAGGTATTCAAAAACAAAAAAAACTTACCTATTATTATTTATATAATCTGGGTTTTGAAATTGTGCACTAAATATATCACATAATTCCTATTTTGCTTTATTATCTACTGCTGGATGTCTGTAACTACTCAACAAATCACCTTCCATATAATTATAATAATTGTCTTGCTTTTCCTTTTCTTTCTCTAGTCTAGCAACCTCTTTATCTATTAGCATTTCCTTCTTGTTATGTAATTGATTTTTCAAATCTTTAGTATCTGTTATATCTAATGATTCATTATTAGTGTTTTTATCTGTATTTATATTTAATTTAATTTGTTCAGTTGTAGATTTATTTGTAGTTTCACCAATAGGTAATGTGTTTAATTTGTTTTTTATTTGAGAAAAGTTAATTTTAGCTCAACTCATAGCTAGTACTTTATTTTTATTTTTTTTTAAACTTCGACAATTTTGTCATTAACTTTTATTATTATATTTAACTGAACAGTACATATATATTACATATATTTAACTATCTAACTAAATGGTCATTATGACCTCACCCAGCTACTCTATATAGCACCTAGATGCTATCTCACATGTGAAATGGACTACCTTGGGAACCTCTATCAAAAAGTACTCTAAATTCTGATTTAACTCAGAACCTTAATATTTTTACCAATTTATATATACCTCATTATATATACTACTGTACAACATTTACCAGTTTTAATTCACCCTCATTACTTATCATATTATATCTAATTTGTTTTTTGTATAACTTCCAAATTGGTGTTCTAGGAGTGGGTACTCTTCTTGCTTCCAGTTTGGTGTTCCTAGAGATGTTACTTCAAATCCTAATCCATATCTCAAGCCAGGTGTTACTGCCATCTGAAGACCTGTATCTTAAGCTACTTGCTGTCACTATTAGAAGAGCTGTTCACATGGTTTCAGATATTTACGTTATACACCACTTAATTAGACTACTACCTCTTTTATAGTACTCTCTATTGGTATAGTGATACAGAAGTTTAGATTCTTAGAATGGGAGTTAAGTATCTCATTTAATTACTGCCACAAAGTAGTAATCTGGGATCTGCGCTTCTGCTGTATTTCATCATAGACTTCTATTAGTTGTGCAACTATTACTCACTAGCCGGCTTTATGTTCGTATTACTAGGGTGCTTGCTTCTATGCTTTTCAGAGTTTCTTTTAACCAGTTTTCTTGTTTCTTTATTGCACTAGAGGTGTTTTATATTTGGTAAAGTCATTCTCTTACCACAGTCCCTTATTATATTTACTGCTTCTCTCACCACTTTTGGATATATTATATACAGCCATCCTCCCAATCAAAATTCCAATACCGCCTTAGGGTTGTTGGTGCTACCTTGCCAATCGCAGATTTACATGCACAGCCTTCTGCAGTATTACCTTCCGTGATCCATGTCATATGCAGTGCCTGATCTTCTCCATGGCTCGGGACTTCTTTCAAGAATTCTTTATCAGCCAAATATATACTTCACATGGTCTTACCGCTACAAGGTTCTATATTCAAAAGCCTCTGAAGGTTACAGAAATAATTAATTCAATTAATTATCACTAGCTATAATTGAACCATCGACCTCATCTGTAAAAAGCTAGGTATCTAAACTACTAGGCTACAAGACTCTAACTGCTAGTACTTTTTTTTTTTAAATATATATATATATATATTATTGTGGTTTTGAAATGGTAAAAATGAGTATAAAAAAAAAATTTGTCTAGTATACCTGTAACTACATATACTTATACTGGATTACCTTAGCATGTTTATTTAAAATCAATATTTAATTATATATATATATAGGAAGTCAGTAGAAATGAGACAAATTTATTAGATAAATTTGTCTCATTTCTACTAACTCCTTCCTATATGTACTTACCATATAGCACTACCTATAAAACTCCTTAGTCTTATTCAAAAAAACCTCTCAGCTGGTTTGAATAGTATCTGGAAGTACTGTGTGAAGAGGTAGATACTATACAATAGAAAAAAAATTAATTGACCAATCAGAATTATAAATTTTTTTATAAAAACTATTAAATTGGTTATATGAAAAAAACACAATATGTTTTATAAAATAAAATTTTTAATAATTCATATAAAGAACTACTAAATTTGTAAAATTTATTAATAATTAAAAGCCTTTGAATTGTGTAAGCACAATTTTTTAAATAAAGTACAATTAATTTGTTTTCATAATACAATTTTTTTTCTAGCAATGCTTATATATGCAAATAAGTCTATAAGTCATATATAAGCAACAAATAAATTGTGTTGTCAATGGAATGCGTGTAAAAAACTTGTATCATAAAAATAGTCATAGTAAAACTAAAATGGCTAAACCATAGTTTATTTTTAGTATAAATTTATATATATTTTTCTTTTATTATTTATATATATACTATTTATTTTTTTTGCTAAATTTAATATCAAGACTAAACATTAAAAAACTCTCTTTATCGATCACCAAAATTAAATTTAGAGGGGTGTGGCGACTTAGTGTAGTGGTTTAGTTGTCACCCTCTCCAAGTGGCAGGTCTAGAGTTCAAATCCCACGGACGACGAATTTTGAAAAATAGCCTGTGCT